AAACAACAGTGTGCATGAAGAAAGTTTCATCGATGGTGCAGGTTTGTTTATTCGCCGGAGAGGGAGGGAGGGTAGTAATGATGCCTAGATGCTGTTCGTGTGCCTGGCACGGCACCTTTGAACATGACATGCATGCATAACGCTGTGTACCCGTGGCCCATGTACAATCGCAGCACCGCAGCCCATGGCACCATTGTATTGGAATTGAATACTCGGCGTATATCCACGAGAAAACAGATCAGCACACATCACAACACTATCCTAGATGGCACAGATTTCGGCCTCCAGATAGCTCGGCCACCAAAACGCCACACTCCAGTCATAATCATTATATTGGTTTGTTTATATAGTAAGTACATTGTACATGTTCAGTTACAAGTCACACTTTGATCTTCCAAAATCTTGTTTGAACAGCCGATTGTTTACTGCGCCGAGGTTGGCTAAACTGCAATTTATACCCTCTCTGCAAGCAAGTGCAAGATCTGTGGCTCACCTCCTATTCCAATGTACGTTCACTGTCCGGATTTGGACCAAAATTTGCACTTGGCTTGGCATCCTTGACTCCTCGCCAATGATTTGGCGTCATGAAGACTCAGTTAGAGATTGATGGATTAAGGCGGTTAATGGTGGAGGTGACCGCAGGAAGGCTATCGCCTCCCTGATGTTGCTTGTCTCATGGAAAATTTGGAAGTAGCGTAAAACAAGAATTTTTCAAAAATGTCCTCGCCCGACCTCCATTGTTATCACAAAAATCAAAGAGGAGGCCCATCTTTAAACTTGGCGGGAGCCATGCAGCTTAGTATTGTTATGTCACGAGAATACTTTTTTTGCCGCCTCGCGGCTTATGTCTAAACCTTCTTCTTAATCAATGAAAATTGTCAAGTCTTTTACCTTGTTTTTTAAAAAAGAACGTGAATAATCAAGAGTGAGGTCTCTCGACCTTCTACATTCTAGCACCAAACTATAATTGCTAAGCGCTACAACTCATGATGCTAGACAACACTAACTCATCAAAGTTAACTAGCCATGAGCCAATGAAGCCGCTCGCATAATGGTGTCCTCATCGGACGAAGCTGACATGCGCGCCATCGTCGCATACACAAGGGCTGAAATATGGTAGCGGAGTGCTGCGTATCGAGCTGGCGGGGGTGGTGGATGTTGGCAGCGGCAAAGCCATCTTGCCCACCTGGTTACCAATGCGCGAGCAAAGGAAGGGATACGATGCTATGACTTGGGCATGGTGAGCTATAGGCGAAAGCTTTGCGCCGACCTTGATCGATGCCGACGACCACGATGGCCTCGACCGTCGTTCACCTTCTTGGAGGCGTCCTTGCGGAGCCCCTTCACCTCCTCTGCTATTTGAATGTCGAGCTCTGCGGGTGAAAACCTAGGTTCCGGCCAAATAGGACTGGTGATATATTTGTGTGCGTCTATACCTCGCTCTTAGAAGTGTTGGGCCAACATTCGGGTGCAGCCCATTATTAGGTATTTTTATGTTTCTTAAATATATAAAATAAATATTTATCCCACTAGTTTATATATAACTAATTTAATAGTAAAATAAGTATAAAAATTAAGTGTTATTAAAAAATATGCTCATATAAAAAGAATAAAATCATGTACTTCTAAGAGAACATTTCCTGTATTTTAAAGTTTTCATGTATTTAAGAAAATATTCGTATATTTTAAAAAGTTATTTACAATTTTTTTAAATGTTCATAAATTTTTTAAAAGTGTTCACATATTAAAAAATATATCCATGTCGTTAAAGAAGAAGTTATGTGTTTTTTAATTGCCCACTTAATTTTAAAATATTTCATGTACTTTTGTAGAATGTTAAGTAATTACAAGTATTATTATTTTTAAATGTTCACGTAATTTTAAAGTGTTTTCACATTCTAAAAAAATGTGAATATTCATGTTACTTAAAATAGTGTTCTCACATTTAAAAAGTAATTTATAGAAAGGCTTCCACCCATTTAAATATATTCATGCATTTTTCAAAAAATAGTTGTATTTTGGTTAAAAGGAAAATAAAAACAGGATAGTGAAAAAAGATATAGACAAAAAAAGGAAAAAGAGAAAAGAAAAAAAAACAAGGTAATGGACAAAGATACTAAAACCAGGAAAAATCCAACTCCCGGAGTAAAACCATGCAACACCACACACAATATCACGAGTGAAAAAGAAAAACACTAGGGAAACCCAGCCCAGACCCTGCAGACGACCAGGTCTTATATTTCACACGAGGAGATAGAGACATAGCGCATGTTGGTACTATCTAATGTTATGTTTTTGTACGTTTGCAATCATGGGATCGGGACGCTCTTACATAATAAGTAGAAAGTTTGGCATGATAATCTTTATCTAATTCGGCAGCAGTTGTTAAGTAACCCCAACAACCACGGATAGGGCTACCTCATTCATGTTTCGAAAGTTGACCATCAACGATGGCGATCTCTTCTTTTTTCTAGTTCCATCCCATGGCGATCTGTGCGACCACTAACAAAAGAAGGCTCAGCTGATTGTGTCATGTTACGGCGTCAACTCTAAAGTGGTATGTTTGGCTCTACCACACCCATCTCTGTCTTGTTTTTTTCCCGAGATATTATCAATTTGGATTTAAACTCTTCACTTTGTTTGGTTGATCCCAACCTTTTTCTTCATGCTCAATCCAAAAAATTGCTTCATTTTCTCTGCAAGGAAGCAATTATGTAGAGTTAGTGAATTACCCAGATATGAAGCTGTTATTCAAAATTCACAGCAAAACTTACAATAAATATTAATTCAGTGTTGCACACCTACGTTGTACTTCCTCTAGCGATGCAGTCCATGAACACAAATGATTCTCTGCAGTGTTGTGAAAACATCTGAAACAGTAAAATAGATAAATAGATTGGTCATCTTCAACAGCTAGGGCCTCTATAAACAACATCCATATATGTTTCCCAATGGGCATCTGAAATCCCTACTAATTAATTGATGATTAATCCAATGAAATTAAGCACTCTTACGTACTTTATTTATTTGTTTCCTCATTTATATGATGGGTTAAATTTGACGAACACTAGCAGAATTTTTTTCTAGGTCAAACTGTCTTCCAACATTGAATAAGTTCCCTGCTACTTTCAAAGATGGCAGAAAATATAGTAACACAACGCATCCGGGAAGAGCATAGATCGAAATGGACTGCACGTAGCAATCATAATATAAAATATTTTACAGAAGATGAGATACGAAGATTTACCAACAACTATGAAACTGTACTCGGTAAAGGTGGCTTTGGAGAAGTTTATAAAGGAGTCCTTGAGGACAAAAGTATGGTTGCAGTCAAGAAGTTTATCTACAATGCAAAAGAAAGTTTTGACAAAGAGTTGATCGTCCACCGTGAGATCAATCACAAGAATGTAGTCAGATTAGTCGGCTACTGTGTAGATGAAAATGCCCTTATGGTGGTCACGGAGTATATTTCCAAAGGAAATCTAAGTGACTTCCTTCACAAGGATAGCATTCCCATCACTTTGGATACACGGCTAAGAATTGCCATTGATTGTGCAGAAGCATTGGCCTATATGCATTCACAAATGTATACTCAGGTCATTCATGGTGATATCAAGCCTGATAATATACTTCTGGATGATGGACTCAGAGCAGAAATATCAGACTTTGGAATATCAAGACTAGTCAACACTGAAAATACTCTATATACTCTAAATAATATAGGAAGTATCGGCTACATGGACCCTCTGTTTGCTCAGAATGGTCGCCTCACAGCAAAGAGTGATGTTTATAGTTTTGGAATTGTACTCCTGGAACTGATCACTAGAAAGCAGTGGCGGAGCTAGACAAAAATGCTTGGGGGGGCCGAAAGACAAAAATCCATGATGAGCAACTGTTGTTGAGAGGAAATTTATAATAAGTGTAGTTAGTTCTCAGTTGACTGAGACTTAACCAAGCCTCAGTCGAATGATATAGTATATAAAAAGAAAAAGAAAGAAGCTGAAGAAAAGAATGCACAATTCTCTATACAAGATCTAAGGGATATAGTATCGACTGAGACATAACGAAGTCTTAGTCCACGGAGACTTAGTAAAACTGATTTATAATGTGTACAGTCCAATAGTGCAGTCAACGGCTGACCAACTGCCACTTAGAGAAAAAATTGTAGTGCCATCACCAAAAACTTCCCAATTAGTTAGATCAAACCACACAAGAAAAAAAACCCCAGTTTGACTCATTGTATATCAGTGTTGATGTACAGGCAACACTCTTCAGATTTAGGCTGTGCGTCACGGCGGGGGCAGCTGGTTGAGATGAACCACACCATATTGTAACACTGAACGAGTCATCCGCTGCCTAAATACTTCAGCTAGTCATGTGCTGCCGCTGATCTATCCATGCACGAACGTGCCCTACATTTAGGCTCTCTCTCTCTCTCTCTCTCTCTC